TTTGATGAAGGATGCATAACAGTCAGTCTTGAGTAAATTGGTTTGCAGGGATTTAAGCTACAAAGTTGTCAAGCATATTGTTCTGCATGTGCAAATAGCTGAAAGGTACTCTTGTCACTTCAGATCATAGTAGCCCATTGCTGTGGCATCTAGTTTTAATGTTTTTGATAGAATCTAAGTGTCTTGAATGTAATTTTTGGTCATCATTAGTTCTTTAAAGGGTTTGACAGCTGGTTCAAGCTTTTTATTTAACACATAACTTATAGTTGACCTAGAAACATTGTGCAGTTGAGAAATACAGGCTTGTTTATATTTCTTTGTGCATGGAGTGTAACTTTTAGCAGTTTTGCTTGGTTCCAGCTTTATGTTAATAGTGGAGTTGCTTTTTTAAAAAGTCAAGATACAGCTGATTGAGATACTTCCAGCTAAGTAGCAATAGCTTTATTAGATAGAATCTTCTTAAGCTTAACAATTAACCCTTGTTTACCAGGAGATAACTCAGGAGATAACTCAGAAGATAACTCAGGAGATAACTGTTTTGCTTTCCTATTTTTTTAGTTTTATGTAAGTCTGAAAAGTCATAAAAAATTATTTCATTCATCATGTATCACTACTTACAAATAATAAAGTTAAAATAATAAAAGTTTACTTTTATTTAAATAACTTTTTTTTAATTTAAAAACTTTTTTTTATTTAAAAAATTCAATTTAAAAACTTTCGCACATTACTGTATAATAGGGTGTTGACTTTTGGTAAATTTTTGGTATCTCCAGTTTCCAATATAAAAAACAGATGAACTTTGGTTTGAAAGTAACTGAAAAGTCATTGGTTTTATTTAATTTTTGAAAAAGATTGCCCACCATGACCCTTGATTACACACTGGCTCCCATATATCAGTTGTTTTTTTTTTAAGTATATCAACCTGGATCTCAAAAGAACCAGAATTTTATAGTGATTTCAAAATTCATAGTCTTTTCTACTGAAACATTTTAAAAAAATTTATTGCAAAGAAAATGTCATACAAATGACCTTTTTGATTTTTAGTTAAAAATTTTTGTATTTTGTATATAAAATTCATTTTTATTTGAAACCATTATTATTTCTAAAATCTCTATGAAATTCTGGTTCTTTTGAGACCCAGGTCTCTAATAAAGTCCACTAATATATGGGAGCCAGTGTAATCAAGCGTATGGTGGGTTGACTTTTTTCAAAAATTGAATAAAACCAATAACTTTTCTGTTGCTTTCAAACCAAAGTTCATCTGTTTTTTACATTGGAAACTGGAGATACCAAAAATTTACCAAAAGATATTGCTGTTCATTAGAAAATTCACAACTCCTTGAAAATCTTTATTGCTAAAAAAGCAAGTAAAGTTATTGTTTAAAAAATTGTTTATAAAAAATCAAGTTAATTACAACTATCTAAAAAAAAGTAAAAATCATTTAAGTATTGTACTTACAGGGTGCTGTGCAAGAAAGGCTTTAATTGAATTAGCCAAAACAAACACATCATTCGCAGCTTTCATTAAATAGCTATTGTTAAGAGAAAGACTAGATTTTGAAAACCTTACAACGGAGGTTAATGTACTTTGATTTGGCTGCAATGAAGGCAACACTAATGGTGAATTTGATTTTGGCTATATTGGTAAAAAGGAGTTTTTTTAATTTATAAAAACAGTTTATAAAGTTAAAACACACAAGTAAAAGCTAATTTCAAAATATTATATTGTTTTATGATGAAAGTTTATTAAACAATTTACACAGTAGCCATCTTTAGTTTAATTTAAATTAATTTACCAAATTAGGATTGGTCTACTGCTGACCATCTATGAGTAAAATAAGAATTGTGTTTGATTCTGCTAAATGTTTTATTATTTCAAAATCAACCTCACTAATTTAAATATATTTATTGTTTTATACATTTACAGAATGTCTGTGCTAATCAAAGTATGGTCTTCTGATCGTTTATTAAAGAAGTTAGTTGCCATCGAAAACAGTGACAACTTTGTTGCAAAAGGTAACTATTAAGGCATTTTAAATCAACTTCTATGCCATCATTTTTGTTGACGAAGTCAACAACTTTATCTGATGTCAAACCAAACTTGCAGCGCACTGGTTAAGTGAATATATATGATGACTACTAGTAAAGTGAATATAGACTAGTAAAGTGAGTATATATAAATGCACATTAACAACATCATATACAATTAAACAATTATAGATATTTTATAAAAATATATTTTTCAGTTTGTAATGCATATATGAGAAAACAATCAATATTTCTACTTTAAATTTTAATTCTAAAAAATTTTGTATGTCAGATTTACAAAGTGTCCATACAAATTCATAAAGTCCCATCTTCTCTGGCAATACATATGACTTTGTATGGATGATTGTCTTTGAGCTGTTTTGCATGTAAAACAAGCAGTTTATTTGGATTGCTAGATATTTTAACTTTATAAGAATGAAAATGTTAATGAAAGTGTAATGTTTCAAAAGGAAATCATACGAAGTATATTTGTTTTGCAAGAGAAACAATGCACTTTAGCTCTCGAAACTGAGGATGACTTTCTGCAATGCCATAACACAAAACACAGCCCAGCTTGATTTCATAGCAGCCAAATCTTTAGCAAATGGATGTTTTGCCTCAAAATGCATACACCAGTATCTGCTTAAAGGCCCGTACTTTACCATAAATTCTGGATAGTGTAGCATAAAATGATTTTTAAAATTAACTTCTGGTTGTTTGCTGTTTTTGTTAGCCAATGAATAGTTAAAACTATTGATTGTATTGCTGACATCTGCAGTAAAATCAAGTAAAAAATATTTTTTGTCTATCAGTGATTGCAAAACAAAGCATATTTCTAAAGGTGCAATACCTTCTAATACATCATGTATGCAGTCAACTGCACTTTAGTCTATGCAGTGAAACTGTGACAAACAATTGAAAGGAAACTTTGTATAATGCCAGATTCTAAAGCATTGTAATTATTGGTTCTACTTTCTGTCACACACAGATTGTATTCTGCTTGAGTCCTCCTTCCAAAATTGCTGCCTTGAATGAAGTTTGAGTTTCACTATGTGCTCATTTGCAAAATCGGCAAAAGTGTTTTGCATTAAAGTTTTCCATGAAGCCAAACAAGGTGTGCGCTCCTAAATTATCAGCTAAATTATCAGCTGAAAATAAAATCAAAACAGCATGAATAATTTCTTCCACTCCATTCACTTTGACAACAACACCCTGTTCACTTTCCAATTGTTGCAATAAAGATACAACATTATGAAGAATTGGATAGTATGAGTATTTATCTGTGTGGGCATCTAGCGCATACCATAAACCAACTAAAAAAATGCTATCAGTCTTCGACTGATACTCAGGAGCAATATTCTGTATTATCATGTATAAAGCTTTAAGTTTATGTACATGTGTATGGCTCCCAAGCACATTTGTTACTTCAAATGCATCAATAAAAAAGTGTAGCAAGAATGTTTTTTGGTGTCTTTGAAGGTATGAATAATGATGAAAAGTATGTGTATCACCAAAATCTTTTATTTTATTTGGGATTGAATTTGGTGTGCACTGTGGGAAATCTATCCTCAATGAAGCTTTTTATAATATCTTGGCAAGTAGGATATCAATTCGCACGACATAGCATTTGTCCTCTACTAAAACAAAATGCATTGATTGCAATGCCATAGAGTATTGTTGCTCTTCACATATACCTAGTGATACTTCTGTTGCTTCTATATAGTACTCATGTTCTTTTAGCCATTTATTTCTTCTATATATAGTATCAGTTTTATTGAAAATACTAAAGATACTTCGAACATCATTTATTGCATCAAAAACAAATTTATTAGTTGGGGCTACTTTTAAATTAACTGCTAAAGTTTCTATTGTCTTTGAAGCATAAATAGCCACATCGTTTAGTAGGCCAGACATAATTTCCATAATAAGCTGCGAATTAGCTAAAGTGATGTTCAGTTTTGATGTTCATGTTATATCTGATACAAAATTCACAACACATACTTCAATACTGTCTCTTGTTATAGACAACAATTGTTACCTTGTAATTTTCATGTGGGTCACTTAGAAAATTTGTGTCAAATTTTCTAAGTGACCCACATGAAAATTTTTTAAAATGAATCACACAAAAATGCAGTAAAGCATTTTTGTGTGATTCATTTCAAAAAATTTTTGCTGCAACTTTTATTATTGTTGAAGCCAAAAGTTTGAAATGAAACAACATAATGATGGTGCTCAAAATGCTTTTTTAACTTACAAAAGCTAAGGAATACTCATGGACAGTTATTAAACATGCATTGTAATTCAGATCCTCTTGTTGCTAAGCCATGAAAGTTTTGAAAATGGCAAAAATGATTTGATAAATCTGCAAAATAACTTGAGCATTTAAAACATTGCATGTTTGTTTTAAAATGCCTTAATAGTTACCTTTTGCAACAAAGTTGTCACTGTTTTTGATGGCAACTAACTTCTTTAATAAACGATCAGAAGACCATACTTTGATTAACACAGACATTCTGTAAATGTATAAAACAATAAATATATTTAAATTAGTAACTTTTAACTTTATCAAGAAATTATTTTTTTGAAAATAACATTAATAATGAAAATAACTAATCTTAAACACACATATTATTCACTAATTAAAATTCAATACACTTTTAAATAAGTTTTAAGCTTCAAATAAATATAAACTATATAACTATATAAAAGTTTAGTTGTTATATATAAATATATAACAACTAAACTTTTTTACATGCGTGAATTCTGTTAACTTAACAAAGTTATTCTGTTATATTATAACTGACCAAGTAATCTGTTATATTATAGCTGACTGAGTAATCCATTATATTATAGTTGACGGAGTTGTGTTCTTCTCTTATTTTGTAACAATTTAATCTGTATCTTAACTGAATATATATTGACATCATGATTTTTTTTTTAACTTTTTTATTTTATTTTTTGTTTTTATTTAGTCAGTTGGACTTGTAATAGGTGGTAGTATAAAAGATTTCAAGAAAACTTTGGTTGTTGCAGTTATTTTCAACTTGAGTAACCTTTTACTAGGAGGTTTCTATAACAAGCGGCTTCCACCATGGTTAATATGGAGTAAATATATATCAACTTACACCTACATTTATAACATCTTTTTGAGAATTGAGTTTGAATATGCTAAGGAAGAGTTTAAGTATATGCTTTATTCATATTACTATTATATAATTAGTATAATTATAAAGTTATTACTATATAATTAGTATAATTATAAAGTTATCACTATATAATTAGTATAATTATAAAGTTAATACTATATAATTAGTATAATAATAATGTTATTACTATATAATTAGTATAATTTTGTTATTTCTATATAATTAGTATAATTATAAAGTAATAGCGAGTTGCTATTTCAGTTTGTTTGTTATATAAGTATATAATTATTTAAATTTAATGGCTATACATTTTTTTTTTGTGAACTATGTATTATTTTCAATAGCTCGTGTTTTTTTCTTAAATGTGACTCTTAACATCAAAGCTGCGTTTTTAATTGGTTGATTTTCATAAGTTTTTATATATTAAACATTTTTAGTATTACTGTTAATGTGACACTTCACATCAAAGCTAAGCAGTTTGATCAAAAAATTAAAAATTCTGAAATATTCAACTATTTAAAAAAAAAAAATTTCAACAAGTTTGAAGATTTTAGAAAACTTACTTCAATCAACATTAATCAATATTTTATGTTGAATTTTTTTTATAATAATTTAGTTCAATTTAAAATATCTTTAAATATTCTTTTTTTTTCTTAGAAAATTACTTTATTATTATGATCAGTTAAAATTTGGACGATTTTAAATTACTATTATTGGACAATTTTAAATTACATTTTCTCAAAAACAACTCAATTTTAACAATTTTTTTTAGAATGGTGTGTACATATTCAGTTTTAATTTAAAAAAGAAAATTTTATCTTCAAATAGACATGCAAGTAATTTATTTTTTTGTAACTTATACCCAATCAAATTCACAATTTGACTTATTGTCACTTTTGTAGCATTAATCCATAAATCTTGGAATTTTTCAACACTATTTGCACATTTGCTTCCATTTTTCAGTATTTTCCTCACTATTGCCCAATAAGATTTGATGACTCACTGCTTAAGACAGTTAGATTAGCATCAATTGGAATCAATTCAATTGACTTGACAATTGAAATCATCAATTGGACTCAATTTTTCTTATCTGCTCAATTTTTTTTTTTTTTTTGAATATTGGATTAATGCCAGATCTGGCCAAAATAAAGTTGGTCATTTATGATTTTAATTAAAAGGAGATGTTGTTTTTCTAACCATTCAGTCACATATAGATCTAATGAAAAAGTTTGATTTGCTATGAAAGGAGGGTTTTTAAGCCACAAATCCAAACAACCTGTCATACAACAAACTTATATGTACCTAAATTTGTCAGACACTTTATAATGTTTTGATTGATAACAATTATCTGGAAGCATCAAGTAATCTTTTTTACACTATGTTTCATCATGTTCTAAAATGCACAAGTTATTATTATTTTTTTTTTTTTTATTTTTTTTTGTCACAAGTTAAAGTAAATTTTAGTTCATCCACTTGTTTTCATTTCTCCATCAAGTGACTTTTGTGGTATTTTTCTTCTTTTGAAAAGTTTTCAGATTTTTTATTAATACTTTTTGAATGAAAGATATTTAAACTTTGTAACTAAATCTTGTTGTGGCTACCAGTTGGATACTAGTTAATCAAGTCAGCTGTTGATTTTGCATTCTTTTTGTTATTAAATTTTGATTTTCTGCCACTTTTTTGTTTCCTATTTATAGTTTTGTTCTCCTTATAATGTTCTATGACAGTTGCTAACAGTTGTTATTGACAGTTGCTAACAGAATATTTGGAACTTTTAAAATTATTGAATACAAGCTTGGGGAGTTTTCTTTATAAAATTTCAGAATATTTTTTCGATTTTCAGACTTTACTCATCACTGCAAAAACTAATCAAATGTAAACAAAACTTATGCATAAAAAAATACTTATGTAAGTGTTATTTAAACAAAAGTTTATTAGAATTGAGAAAACTAATTTTTTTTTTTGAGAAAACTTATTTTAAAATTGTCCATTTTTCAATCAATCAGTGTGATGAATGCAGTAAAGCATATTATATTTATTTGGTTTTTCGAATTTTTCTTTATTCAAATTGAATAATGAGAACTACTTAATTCATATATTTTATTTATTTCACTTATTGTAATTTTTCCTAGGAAATAGGATTTTAAAAAGGATTTATAGTTTTAGGTGTATCAAATAACAAATTTAAGTGTTTGGTTCATTTATGCGCTGACTCAAATAATAAAAACTCAGCTTTCAGTGTCTTTGTGTTAATGGAAAATTCAATTACAAAGTCAAGAAACTTTGTAATCGAATTTTCCATGATTTTTTTTTAATTCTTTTTAAAAAGCTTTACTCTGATGATGAGCTTCTTCGATTTCCTCTTGATTCCTTCGATTAGATTCTTCGATTTCCTCTTGATCTTGTTACTCACAATAGAATTTTTTAACAATTGACAATAAATTTTCAGACAATTCAATAGTATCAATTTTACTAACATTCCTGGTCAGCTGAACTTCTTAGAAATCACTTCTTGTCTGTCAGTTACTCTTGAGGTGGTCGGCGATAGATTGGGAAAGCTCAGGCAAAGAATCAGCATTTATGAAAAATCCCTACCACATTGTCCGGCTCTTTGAATGTGCAACAAAACAAAGTTTTCACTCCAAGAATTTTTCCTGATACACTTCTTGAAAAAGTTAAAGCCAAAAAAAAAAGAATTTGTAAGCTAAAAAAATGATTGATTTGAGCAAACTTCACTTAAATGGTATACTGCAAAGAATGCTGCAATAATTATATTCTTATTTTAGCTTTTTTTTTCTTCTCTTATAAATGTTATGTGATTTTAATACTATCCATATCTTAATAACTTTTTTAAGAATCCATCTCCACCTAAAAAATTTAAGGTAGGACAACCTTTAAAATACTTTGAAGGTTGTCCTACCTTTATTTTTTTTGGTGGAGATCCCTAAAAATTATCAAAAATCTCTTTGTGGGAAGCAACGCTCGAGTGCAGAAGTTTGTGCCAATCATGAAAATGAGGCTATCTTATTAGCTGCAGTTCAATCTCCAAAAAAACTGGAGTTGATGTTCTGCAAACTACTAAATCAGTCTGAAGATATTGTTGACAAAGCCTTGAAGGCAGCTCTGAAGCCTCCGCCTCAGATGCCTGTCTTAAAAATACCTACTGCTGCCCTTGCCTTCATTCTCAACAACATTTCCAAGAGAACATATTATCATCTAAAAGAGGAATGTTCTAAAAACTTTTCTAACATTTGGCCTAATTATAATGCTGTAACTGAAACATATTATGTGATTCTTTAATTTGTTGTAAAAAGATTAATTATCCATGCTTTACTGATGTACTTTCAACTTAGGTTCCTAGTTTTAATTTCATATTCTTGAAACAAAAAAAAACTGCAGACCTGAAGGAATTCAAGTAGAAGCACTGACAGCAAAAACTCCACTTCAAAATCTTTTAGACCACATAGTCAAAAGGTAAAAAATGAATCTACCATGCAGGTTTAAAAATCTTTATAAGTTTTTAAAACAAAAAAATCAACTTTCCCGTAAAACCATTTGTTCCTTATAATTAGGATATTATATTTAGAAGATGCCCTTTTACTGGAACATCTTAAAGTCTATATCCATGAATCTATAAATTTTTACTTTTACTCTAAATTTGACTTAGATGGAGTTGGTTCATTTGCTACCTTCCATCAAAAGGAGGAAAGCTCCAGGTATCTTCTGCATGAGTGATGGAAAGGTCCTGATCCAACTGACTGCCTGTCAATCAACTAGCAATTGCTCATTATGCTATATTATATCAATCATCAAGGCAAATGTCATATACATAATGAGACTTTTTCTGTCAAAGATGGTGATTTGGATTATGGAACAAGTACTTTGCATTTTAGAATTCGCTCCTTTGAGGCCATTTTACGTATTGGTTATAAACAAGATTGAATAATAAGACTCAAATGAAAGTAAGAGAAGAAAAATATAAGAAAGTTTTCAAGAACTACCTTGGTTTGATTGTGAACCAGCGCAGAGAAGGTGGAGTCAGCACAAAAACAACAGGTATGATATGAATGTTAAAATTTTTTTTTTTTCTGATGCAGGCAGTTTGATGGCTTTTAGATCTTGCAGTTTTAGTCATGATTTTTCAAAATTATTAAACTCTTTCCACCAATCACAGCTCAAATTTGTTTCATTCCTGAATCTCTTATCAGAAATTTTGCTTTCAATTTGGAGTGCACTAGCTTGTGGATTTGCCTTGGATGCTGAAGCATTTGGAAGATTTTGTGATGAAACTAAGGCAATCAACTTTGATCATTGCAAATGGTTACCAATTACACCAACTCTTCACTAAGTTCTCTGTCATGGTAAGACTTTGGTTGAAAACTGTTCCCTTCCTATAGGGTTGACAAATGAAGAGCCAGGAGAAACCTGCTATGCTTTCATGCACTTGACCAAATCTGACCATGCAGGAAGACTTAATGGACTGATGGTTTGAAAGACTTGTTTTTGTGTTTAATGGATTCATCAAATGCAAAAACAAGTGACTCTTTGGTCAGAGGTTTGTTAACAAAGCAGTTTAAAAGTATTATGTTCACTTGGCTAGAGTGAACTTATACTTTGATGTAATTTTTCATGTTTTTTGTCTTATTACTGCAAATTTTCTTTAATATTTTTACTTTCTTATAAATTTTTTAGCAAAGATGTTATCATTTACATGGTTAACTGTATCTTCCAAATTTTTGATATTCAGTAAAATAAATCTCTTACAAAAAGTTTTACAATTTTTTGTAATTTTTATGACAACTCTCAAATTTTTTGAGTAGAGCTATTATCCAGCTTTTTTTCTATCCTGTTTATAACATTACAGGGATAAATCTCACTGCTCCTCGCAGGGATCAAGCCAAAACAAAGCCGCTGCTGCTCAGAGATTACTGATTTTGATTAAGCTTTGTGTTACATGTATTATTACATATATTACTCTTATACACTAGCTTTCATAAATTTAGATGCATTTGTTTTTTTTTTCATATATGTAAGAAAATACTCAAAATAAAAATAAAATAAAAGTACTATCGCTATGTTTGATATATAATTTAAAAGAGGAAGTGAAATTCTATTATAGAGTACCTTAATTTTTTTTACAGGATGTTTATTACTCATTCTATACCGATTAACACAAAAAAAGTTAATTGATAAGCTTGATTTTATTTTGTTCATAAATTTAGACGCACAATCAAAAAAGTCCTATATCTTGTTAATTGATAGTTTTTTCCCCATATTTCTCATTATTAGGCCTAAATTAATTGATTTTGTCAAAAAACCTTATATAAATATGACTTACCTGGAGTTAGTTAATCATTATTTAATAAATAAACAAAAGTTAAGTTAGTTTTGCACTAAAAAGACGCGAAAAATGGGCAAAAGACGTATCACTCAAGGTGAAAGATGGCAAATTATTGCGCACATCAAAGAAGGAACCAAAAGTAATAGAGAAATCACCAAGTTAGTTGGAGTTTCTGAGAAATGCGTTTGGACAACGAAACAAAACTTTCTTCACACTGGTGGTGCCAGCGAGAAAACGAGGCCAGGTAGACCCATGTCAAACCACCAGAAAGGACGATGTTGTTCTTTTTAGAGCTGTCAGAGCTAATCCAAGAATTAGTTACAAAGAATTGATCACAGAATTCAATACAACGCGAAATACATCTATTTCTCAAAGCACAGTCCGCCGAATACTTATCAAATACAAGATTGGAGTCTACACTGCTTTGAAGAAAACGCTTCTGCGTCCATATGATAAACAAAGGAGACTAAAACCGTGTCGTGAAAGCAGGTATTGGACAATAGAACAATGGGAAAACATTATGTGGAGTGATGAGAGTAACTAAGAGCTTATCAATCGCAAATCTAACATAACAGTCAAAAGAATGGCTCACGAAAAGTATTACGCCAGGTACATTAGACCGACTGTACAAAGTGGAGGAGGCTCGATAGGAATCTGGTCATGCTTCAATTACAAAGGTTTTGGTATGTGCCAAACATACATCGGAAGAATCAACTCCAGAATATACGTAGAAGTACTGGAAAACAACCTAATTCCATCAATTGACCTGCTTATGCTCAATGATAAACCTTGGAAACTTTAACAAGATAGCGCTACTGCACATACTGCATACTGCATAGTAAATATAAAGGAGTGGTTCAATGATAATAATATCATGAAAATACGGTGGCCTCCATACTCACCTGATTTGAACCTGATTGAAAACATTTGGGCTTGGATTGACCATGAATTAGCAAAGGTTCAAATTTCCACACTTGGTCAGCTGAAGGAATTCCTTAAGGAGACCTGGTATGGGGTCCCAGAAGCGATGTGCAAAAATCTTGTTGAGTCTATGCCTAGAAGAGTTCTTAGTTGTATTAAAGCAAAAGGCGGATACACAAAATATTGATTGGTTCATAAATTACGCCTTCTAATGTATCGTGCGTCTAAATTTATGAATAATTTTTTTTTAATACCATGTAGTTGTACCTAATTATTACTTCGTATTTCATTTTTTTTGTAAACTTTTTTTAAATTTTGTATTTTGTATGTATTTATCTTATAAATAGAAAAAAAAACTAAACCGAAATCTTTTTTCGTCATTGTTTTATCATTAAAAAACTAAAAATTTCTATTCTCAAATATGAGTGCTAAATTTATGAAAACCACTGTATATTTTATTATTTTTTTTTTTTATATTTTACTTCACCTCCTCAAGACCGAGAAGGCCACTACAGACAAGGAGGCTACTTATTTTGTGGCTATAACCCTCTCTCAACTCTATAACTCCGAAACACGAACCTTGACGAACAAGGCCGCTGCGCGGAGAAACGAGTTAAGCGCGGTACTACCAGGGACGTGGTGGAGATCCAACTCGGAACCACTGGTTTATGAAGCGAGCGCTCTACCACTACACCACTACCGCATAACATTTATTATGTTTTACTGTTTTGTTTATATTTTTTTCTTAAATGAAGTTTTTTAAAAAACATTTCGAAATATTTTTTTGGGCTATCGAAAATAACTAGAAAAAAAAAAGAAGCATTCGATGAAAAATCTCATAATCTTTCTATTAGACCATTTTTAATGATTATATTTATTCCATCAACCAAAACTCAATTCTCCGTGACTTGTCATTCAGCTAAGTTGCATCCTTTCAAAATTTAACTGTTTTCTCATGCTTAAATTTTTATTTATCTAGTTTTTTTTCTAAGACATCTGTGTTTTAAAATTACGTCCATGTTTACCTGACTAATTACACTGGCTATTACAGTTTTTTAATCTTCTGTCATGTTTTTGCTTTTTTTTTGCAGGTTTTGCCCTAAAGTTATTGATATCAGTTTTTTCCATCATTTTTTAATAATAAATTAAGATCAATTAGTCAAAACTTGATAAACCAATTTCCTCCATCAACAACAATTTTGAAAAATGTAATTTTAAATTTCTAAATCCATTCAAGTGGCATAATCATTGGGTACCACAGGTTCTAAAGTATTTTGGTTATTCTCAAAAGTTTGGCTAGTTTCTTACGTTATTGATGCATAAAATTTAGTTTCTTACGTTATTGTTGCATAAAATAAAATTATGTTATGAAGTTTTGATACAGCTATGTTGTATTTATCTTATCATGTTAACCTTTTTTATATCCTTTATAAATTATTTTTCTAGCTGAGCGTTGTTTGTGATGCACTTCTTGTGAACTTCAGTCAAAGATGAACTACACCTCGGATCAATCAACTATCTTGCCATTATGCATTACTGTTTAAATATTTTTAATTTCAATGAGCATATTAGGTTGGATTCCGAAAAAGTCACGAAAAAACTTTTTAAAAAAATTTGCGTAATAGGAATCTTTGGATATTGTGGACAACAAAGTAATAAGTAAACTATTTCTTTTGAAAATACTTCAGCCTGGATATTTTTCAACATAAAAATGATTAAAGCTAACTGTGCATCATTAAATCTAAATTTTCAAAACAGTAATCAAAAGTAATAACTTAGCAATTTGTTATCTTAACTTAAGAACATAAAATTACATACATTTTAAATACGACATGTAAATGACACGAATTTATTAAATAAACTATTTTGTTCCGTGAATTTAAATCACGGAACAAAATAGTTTATTTCAGAAAATAAATTTTAAAGAATTTAAGTTTATTTTCTATATTCAAGTAATTAACAAGTCCCACCAAGACGTTTTTTGTTTACAAAAAAAACTAATTGACAGGTCTGACATCCCCTCTTATTTTTGTTAGAGGAATCAAAAATGTTTTTGTTTGAAAGTTGCTTAACTTAGAATTAATTTATTTATCATAATTTAGATGCCATATCTGAAAGTTCACAGAAAATGAAAAGAATTTTCTATTGATATTAAGTAATTAAAACTGAAGAATAGAAATTTTTTCGCTTTTACTTTTTAAAAAATTTCAGGTGAAAAAAAAGACAAAAAAAAGTTTAACAAATCTTCTTACACAAGATTTATAAACCTTTTACACAAGCTTAGTCTCTTGTGGAGGTTCTACTCACGAATTCAGTTTTATTCTTTTAGGTTTTTTATACTAGTTTTTTGTTGATATATCAGGTACTATTTATTAGTAAATTAGGTTATATGGATATTTATTAGGTTTTAGTGCTACATTTATGTTATATTTATATCGGTTTTTATTGATTTATCCGATTCTATTGTTATATTGGGTTCTATTAATTTAAGAGCTTAGTTGGAGATAAATTTTGTTTTACGTGGATCAAATCTATTCTTACGATAACTCTTATCTATGATAAAAGAAGAACACATACACACATAAAAAACATTTTACAATAGTCTTAATAGAAATTTAGCAAATGCTTGTTTAGTGTATGACTACAATTTTTTTAATGTTTTTAGATGTTCTACGATTTCAGAATTTCGCGAATGTCGTAATAGTAACAGAACGCACATCACTGGGCCCGAGTTAATGGCTTATTTAAAACCAATCGATCTTGATATTATGCAGAGTGTTTTTGTAATAGTTGGTTTGTCCATTTTTTTGAGGATGTTATTTTATTTAGTACTAAAGTATTTAAACAAAGCTAAATAAAATAATCATTTTAGTGAACTATTCATATTTTTTTTTAATTAAAAAAAAAAAAGAAATAATAAATATAAATTATATAAATTATATAATTTATATTTATTCTTAAATAAAAATTATATTCAGTGTGAGTTCTAATTACGTCAAATCTAGTGACGTGTCAAATTTGTTTTAATATGTGTATTAATAGAATCTTCTTATTTTTCCTTAAGAAGATAATCAATTAATGCTAACAAATTTTTACGTGTAATGTTATTAATGTTATGATACTGATTCATGTTCTTCGATGCGTTTTAAAAATTGTAGTTTATCATTTCTTTTTCGGAAAGGAAGGTGATTCAACGAATCGATATTTTTCAGCTTTATGCTATTTACCAGTCCATCATAACCATTGGTACGCCCAACTGGTTTTTTGAAATGTTTAATTTTTTATTATACGCTCCTATTTCATCAGACTTTTTATTGCATAATTTTTTGATACCTCTTAATTTATCCATCATAAGATCACCTACAAGCAATTATCTATTAATTTATCCATCATAAGATCACCTACAAGCAATTATCTAATTAATTTATCCATCATAAATCACCTACAAGCAATTATCTAATTAATTTATTCATCATAAGATCACCTACAAGCAATATTTAAAGTGCTTGTTCTAGCTTAAAATTAACACTCGTAATTTGAATGACTCTAGTAAAATACGTTCTAAGAACCTTTACCTAAGAAAAATAGTTTATTGGTATTTAAAAACTTGTTTTAATTTAGTTTTTGCAAAGATTTCTAATGAACGTAAGTTTTTCGCTCCAGAATAGATTATCGAAGTTCTAATTAGGTCGAAGTTGGAAAATGCAAGATGAATGATAGGGCAGCAGAATTCTTAATATACTTATTAACTGTGTCATTCATAGCCAAAACTTTTGTAGAGTCATTTTTTACATTAAAAGACTCTTTCGACTACACTATAAGGATATATATATATATATATATATATATATATATATATATATATATATATATATATATATATATATATATATACATATATATATATATATACATATATATGTATGTATATATATATGTATGTATATATATATATATATATATATATATATATGTATATATAATGTACCATCAATGTTACATACGAAGGTATAGGTTTTCGATACTATCTCGAAGTAAATATTTCTGAACAAACATTTTTTTATACAATGTAGTGTTACTAGAATTGGTTTTATATAATAATCTGTCAGAGTTTCTGCTGGTGATTTATCATATTTTTGTTTTATCAATATGCTCTACGAGATTATAGTACATATTGAATTGGTGTGTGTTTATTGCATCGATCTTAATATATATATATATATATATATATATATATATATATATATATATATATATATATATATATATATATATATATATATATATTTATATAAATATATATATTTATTTATTAGGGATGTACCGAAGCTAAAATTTTGTTGAAGCTAAAGCTTCGGCACTATATATGCTTAAATTTAATCAACATTCAGATCAGCAGGGGTGTAAAACAAAAAAGGTACCAAAACTAAGGTCCTTGACTAATAATACAGAAAAATCGTATAAAAATGAGGATGCCTGTCAGGGTTGCTGTCCCAGGCAGGGCAAAAGCTCTCAGCGCCCCTGTTTGAAAGTTTCTCATTGTGTCGTTTCTGATACTTGACCGCACCGAGCGTTTGTTTTTTAAATTTAAGCTTTTTTGAAACAAATTTTCCTACTTCTAGTTCTACTTTTTCTGTGTGCAAACCATATTAATGTTATATAGCATCTTTTCATGTGCTCTATATATTTTTAATGGACTTTTTGTTAATAGAAGTGGATAAAAATCTCTGAACATTACTAGAGTAAATTTATCTTTCGCACTTAATCACTCTTTCTTTAAATAAACACTTTTAGCTGATCTAGTTGTATCTACAACATAAAAAATCTTAAAAACACACTTTATCTTTTTATTGCTATTTATTTCAATATCTTTTTTTTACTTCTCTGTATTCATTAAACGAAGAATTTCTAAACTAAAAAAAACCCAAGTTAAGACCATTTTATATTCCACTACAACTGTTGTGAACCTGCTGCTAAAAAAAAGTACAAACGATAGGTTTCTCTCTAACTTTTTTTTTACACACTTTTAAGTATTTTTTTTTTTTTGATTATTTTTAACTTTACACTACGTAACATTTTCTTTACCTTCTTTTAATCTTTTACACTTTGAAATCTTAGTATTCATTCGTCTTCTGTCTCTGTAATGGATAAATCTGCATCAGTATCTGAAATCAAATATCAACTATCTGTGATAAAAGCTTCCATAGTAATCTAACAACTCTGTAGAGTGAGCTTTAAATAAAATAATAAATAGAATACTTTATAAATCTTTTATTTATAATTATATTATTATTTACTTTATATTTATAAATAAACAGGGACTGAACAGGCTGATATTTATTTGATTTAAATTGTTTATTTCATTTAAATAAATTTTAATGATATATATAAGAGCTCAAAGTAATCAAAGCTTCAACCTTTAATTTATTTTAAATAAAATTTAAAAGTCTTCATAATATCATAAGAAGAAACCAGAATAAAGGTTTACATGTTTAATATATAAATTCAATTTAGAAGTATTCATAATGTTAATAAAAGAGCAAGGATAACTATTATCATTGTTTTTCTTTTTTTTTTAATTTATCTAGTTTTTGTTGACATTTTTTTTCTTTTTTTATTCTTCTTATTTATATTTCATTTGCTTTTCTTCCTTTTTTGTTGTTGAGAACTTAATGTTTTTTATGTGTCACTCCATTGACTAGTTTGTATCTATATAAGTGACACCTAACCAATTTCTGTAAATTTACGATGAAAATTTGTAAATTTTTATTAATATGGTTATATAAAATTTTTAAAAATTAAAAATACACACAATTTAAAATAGTAGCAACGTATCTTTAACCTTCTTTAAAGTGAGATTACTAAGGTTTATAGGTCAAACGTTGAAACCAAATTTTGTTCTATTTGCGGTAATTCCACACAATAACTAATATGAATTCGTTACATAATACAAATTAAGGTTTTTTTTCCATTTTATTTTTAAAAACTTTTAATTTGTTTTAAATTATAAGGTTTTTATTCTGCATGGAAATGCTGATTCAGTTCGTCTAAAGTCACACTTGGAAGCCTTAAAAGTGTATGAGGACCTTCCCTAATTTTATGATTATTTTCAAAATATTAGTACTTATTTATTATTATCCCCTCCATAACAAGAGACTTGAGAGTAAATAATACTAAGTATATGGTATAGATTCCAACTTTAACTCTGTAGTCCTGAATTCATAACTTGATTAGACACTGGCAATTAGCGTATTTTTATAACTTGTACGACAGAAGCTTACATATATATATATATATATATATATATATATATATATATATATATATATATATATATATATATATATATATATATATATATATATATATATATATATACATATATATATATATATATATATATATATATATATATATATATATATATATATATATATATATATATATATATATATATATATATGTATATATATATGTATATATATATATATATATATATATATATATATATATATATATATATATATATATATATATATATATATATATATATATATATATATATATATATTGGCAGTTATACATGTGTTGTTGTTGCGTGAAGTGCTGTTTGTGTATTGCTCTCTTTTTAAAGTTTTCAAAGATTTTTTTATTGTTTTGTTATTGAGTTCTATTTATGTGTCTATTTTTTTACAGTTAAACATGATTAAATCAATATTTTTACATATAATTTGACTTCTATAACGGTTTACTAGAATTACGTGTTTTTTTCAATATGGGAAAGGCAAAAGATGTTTCACCCTCAAAAAAAAGAGAACTTGGAGCATTATTGAAGAATACTTCTTATTCTTTTTTTTACTAAAAATAATCGTTTGAAACATTAAATAATCAAAATAAGATTGAAATATCAAATATTGAAAATTATTTGAAAAAGTGAAAAACAAAATTGTTTTGAATTTTCTGCAAATGTAATTGGGAGTAACCGAAAATGAGTGGTATATTACAGTGGTATTATAACTAGAATATACCACTTGAACATCTAAGTATAGATTTTTAGAAAAAAGTTTATTCCAAAAAATTAAAATCATATGTATTTTGGCAATACAATCTCCAGATCAATACTTTTGTACCTAAGAGGCAAAATTATCAAAGTCACTTTGCGTATCAAAGTCATCAAAGTTTTACGATACTACTCAAAATTAAGTTCTTTAAGTTAAATTGTATTTCATCGACACGGCCGCTTACAGATTTTATGATAGCTGAGTAAATCTATTTTTGGAGTGTTTTTCGTACGTCTCTAGTCTTTTTGATCCCAATGTAGTTCAATTGGATTGCAATAAGGATTTTGAGGTAGCCGAGCCATTAACTTTAGTACTTTCATTAGATTTTAGATAATCATTAGATTTATATAGATCGTTAGATTTTAGATAATCAATCAGAGAATAATAAACAAAATAATAAAAAAATATATATCATAATTTTATTGTCGGGGCCCCTTTTCCTCGTCTCAATAATAATTTCAACGAAAATTATAATCAAGATTTAGCCTTCGTTATCCGAACTTTTTCAAAAACTGGCCTAAACGTTAACTCGATTATGAATATACAACGCTATCCAAAATCAAATTCTAACTTTAACCAATCTTCCTTATCAACTTTTTTGTCAGATAAATTTACAACAAAAGAAGATTATCATCTAGCTGTCAGAAACTCTCGTATCTTACAAAGCGATAATATTTTTATACGCCGAGAAAGAAGTTTTACCGATCAAACAAAATTTAACAAATTATATAAAGAAAAAGATAAGATTAAATGATCTTCTACGGAATAATTATACTCTAGATCAGCCATTTCGTTTTGTCATCCTAGGCGAAAGA